GTGCTACAGGAGGGCCACGATCGCTATTATAGCCCAGTGATGGGCTGTACAATCAGGCAGTGGGGGGGATGTTAAGGAGCAGCTCTGGGCACAGGAGGCTCTGCCCAGCTGCGCCCACGGGGCGTGCTCTGAATGGAGGGGGCGTTTAAAAGGGCAGCACAGCTCAGTCAGGGCAGTCAGTGCCAAGAAGCAGACCTGCACTGATAGCTCCCGCAGGAGGCCAGCACTGCCCTGAAGCTGATCTCAACACAGAGCCGCAAGCCACTGCAGAAGAGAGAGCGGAGCATCTGCTTGTGTGGGAGGGACCTCCAGCCCCCCTTCTGGGGGAACGCGTTGCAGGCCACTGGACTCCCTGCCCCAGGGCCCTGGTTAGAACCCAGAGGAGTGGGCGGGCTCAGGTTCTCTATCACCAACCCTGGACTTGAACCATGATATGCTCCCACCAGCTCCAGGTGGTCTGGCTGGCCAGCAGTCTGACACAGGGGGATGCGGTCTAGGGAGATGGTCTCTGTCATAGTCCCTTCCATGGGAACTCCTCCATGGGACTCCCTCTGTTTTCATGCCAGCAGCTGGACTGGCTGAGACAGGTCAGCGCTCCGGCTGATGGGCTGTGTGTGAAAACACAGCACTGTGCACTACGGTATCATAGAATCATAGACTATCAGGGTTGGAAGGGACCTCAGGAGGTCATCTAGTCCAACCCCCTGCTCAAAGCAGGACCAATCCCCAATTTTTGCCCCAGATCCTGAAATGGCCCCCTCAAGGAATTGAACTTACAACCCTGGGTTTAGCAGGCCAATGCTCAAACCACTGAGCTATCCCTCCCCTTCAGTCAGGCTGAGACAGGGGTTGTACTACCAGACAGAAAACCAGTAAGCGATGTGCTTAGGCAATAAGACCTGCCATCAAAACCCCTGCTAGGGAGGGAGAAAAACCCCAACGCTGCCTCCAATACCCCCAATCCCTCACGGCCTCCTGCAGCCAGACACCCCTGGGCTCCCACGTCACCCACCCCCACCCCTCACGGCCTCCTGCAGCCAGACACCCCCCGGGCTCCCACGTCACCCACCCCCACCCCTCACGGCCTCCTGCAGCCAGACACCCCCTGGGCTCCCCTCCCCCCCCCCCCCCCCCCCCCCCCCTCCCCCCCCCACCCCCACCCCCATCCCCTCACCCCCCCCCCACCCCCCCCCCACCCCTCCGGCCTCCTCACCCCCTCCCCCCCCCACCCCCACCCCTCACACCCTCCTCAGCCCCCCGCTCCCCCCCCACCCCCACCCCTCCGACCTCCTCCCAACACCCCCTCCCCCCCCCACCCCCACCCCTCTCCTCCTCCCAACACCCCCCCCCCCTCCCCACCCCCACCCCTCCCCTCCTCGCCAACACCCCCCCCCCGTCACCCACCCCCACCCCTCACGGCCTCCTGCAGCCAGACACCCCCTGGGCTCCCACGTCACCCACCCCCACCCCTCATGGCCTCCTATAGCCAGACACCCCCTGGGCTCCCACGTCACCCACCCCCCACCCCTCACGGCCTCCTATAGCCAGACACCCCTTGGGCTCCCACGTCACCCACCCCCACCCCTCACACCCTCCTATAGCCAGACACCCCCCGGGCTCCCACGTCACCCACCCCCACCCCTCACGACCTCCTGCAGTCAGACACCCCCTGGGCTCCCACGTCACCCACCCCCACCCCTCATGGCCTCCTGCACCAGACACCCCCCCCCCGTCACCCACCCCCACCCCCATGCCTCACACCCCGCTCCCACGTCACCCACCCCCACCCCTCATGGCCTCCTGCAGCCAGACACCCCCCGGGCTCCCACGTCACCCACCCCCACCCCTCATGGCCTCCTGCAGCCAGACACCCCCTGGGCTCCCATGTCACACACCCCTGTCCAGCAGAGCCTACAGGATCTAGATACCTCTGCCCCCCAGGCTCCCATGCCACAAATTCCCCGCTCCAGTGCCCTGTGCCAACCTCCAGGATCTAGATCCTCAGGGCTCCCACCACAGATCTGCCCTGGGATGTGAACCCTCGGCATTGCCTCCAGGATCCAGATCCTTCCAGGCTCCTGTGCACTGCCTCTGTGGCTGGACCCTACCCCAAGCCTCCCAGCCGTCCGTGTCATGCAGCATGCCATGTCAACTCCCGTGTCATGCATCGTGGAGCGGGGGGTGTCTCTTCAAGGTGAGCGGGAAGACTGTAACATACCAGTGAGAACAGAGGCTGCAGGGCTGTGGCATGCCTGGCAGGCTGGCACTGTGCCCTGCAGCAGAACAGACAGCTGGCAGCAGGGCTCTGAAATCAGGGCTTGGAGGTTCGGGAGGGAGGAAACAGCTTTAAGAGGGAGCAAGAGCAGGTTGGTGAAACAGTGAGTGCACGGAGGAAGGAATGGATGGTAACCCCTCTCCCCAGCAGGTGGCCTAGGCAAGGGGAAGCAGGGAAAACCCAGCTGCAGCCTCTCCCCCAAGACAGGCGCACCGCAGAGAAACAGAAGCACGTTACAAGTCCAGGAGATCGAAGCCCATTACTCATTCCCAGAACAGCACTGCCTGGGTGGTGGCAGGTCAAGCTTCCCCACTCCACCGCCAATGGGCCTCACCTCTGCCCTGGAGAGACCCCCCACTAAAGGCGCGGGAGGAATTCAGTCCTTTCAGCCCACAGAGTCCTCAGGGGCCAGTTAGTGCCAAGTGGGCTGGTGATTCTGTTCATGGGCACCCATGCCCAGGATCTGGGCCAAGCCCCAGCAGACTCATTTCATTCTCTGTGGCTTGTGTGAAGCCTGTGAGCAAGCAGGGAGCCCCAGGCTGCTCCTGAGAATTCCTACCCAGCAGGTCCCTCCCTCTAAGGGAAACAATGCTCAGTTCCTTTGGGCCTGACCCAAGACATCTTGGGAAATCACATGCGCCTGCCCTGCCAGCTTTCCGGTCCACGCTGTGACGAGGGTCACATGGCAGAGAGCAAGTAACACCTGAGCTTGTTAGCACCCTGGGGATGAACAGACTCATCCTACATGAACTCCACCGAGGGACCAGGTTTGCCCAGCCATGGAATGGGCTTCCCCAAAATGCCCATCCCTCGCAGGTACTCAGCACTCCCGCTCTCCCTCCAGAAGCCCCAACCTGAGCTGTCTCTTGTCGAACCACAGGGTTTCCCCCCGACCTGGCATGTGAACACACAGGCGCAACAGACGTCTCTATGGACCGTGGCCCCCATCTCTCAGCAGGGACCAGCAATGATCTCCTGCCTTTTGGCACTGGGCACTGTGGGATCCGGTGGGTTTTGTCCCCAGCCAGCAGAGTCTGCAGAGGTTTCAAGTAGGGCTCAGCGGAATGGACTAGCCTCTAACTCAGCTGTCTGCACTAGGCAGTAAGCAGGGTTCCCATACCACAGGGCTCGATCCAATGTCCATGGAACTTGGTGGTAAGACGCCCACTGCTTCAGTGCGTGTTGGATCAGGCCCAAGCTCAGCAAGGCCTCTGTCCCGTGTGCGAGCAGGTTCTCCCACTGGACCCATCGTGCTACTGTCTGCACCCTGGGAACTGCGCTCGCAATATTCTCTCCCTTGGTGCTGGCTGTGAGTATGAGCTGCCTAGCAGCGTGGCTGGCTTTGGGAAGGTCGTTCCTCTGCACAGGCCCGGTTGTAACACTGATGGAGCACTGGCTCCCCAAGCAGCTGTAAATCTCACGCCACTGCTCAGCACTTGCCCTACTTTTCGGTTCCCATAAAAACAACGGGGGCCATAAACTAACAGCGGGAGCAATAAACTCAGGATTGTTTTTCCATCTGGACAGCAAAGCAGCATTTGCAGTGGACACGTGGTGGGCAAAGGGTGGTGATCTGAGAGCACCAGGGAAAGCAGGGAGACCCGAAGCAATCTCTGCTCACACCAGGCTGGTAGGAAAAACTGGCTACTCAAAGGCCAACAGAGTCAAGAATCAGGTCCCTCACAGCAGTGGGACCCAATCTCTAGGGACCCAATCTCTGCTCCCACACTAAGTCAGTGGAGTTACTCTCAGCGGAGCGAGAGGAGAGACAGGTGCTTTGTATCAAAAACAGCTGCTGTCTACTGGACACAAAGGCCTAGGGGAACCCTGAACTCCAGTACAACATGCAGCTCCAGATGCCCAACTAAAAGCAGCTCCAACTCTCCAGTTTCCATAGGCCTAAATGAAACTGGAGATTCAGGTAGGACTCTGGGCTACAGGCCTGAGCCTGAATCAAGCCTCCAACGCCACCATCCCCAGCCTTGGGCTCTTTTCCCATCTCTGACACTGCTCTGCTGGGTGACCTTAGGCAAGTCACTTCCCCTCTCTGCGCCACCATTCCACCTCCTGCCTATCGTTGCTCTATTTAGATTAGCTCCTTGGTGGCATGGGCTGGCTCTTACCATGTGTCTGCACAGAGTCTAGCACAACGGGGCCCTGGTCTCTGGGGGGCCTGGGATGCACCGCTCCCAGGTATCTGTGTTACAGCAGCACCTAGGAGCCCAGGCACAGGCCAGCAGTCTTCTGTGCCAGGTGCTGTACAAATGCAGAACAAAGAGACTGGTTGGAAATCTAGTTCAGACGATTACCCCAGTTTTTTATACTGGGCCAAGCCAAAGGGTCACTCATTCCAGATCCAGCTGCAGATTTTTCCATTTGAGTCCATCTCTGCTGGTTCTCCCCTTTCACTGTAAGCAGAGATGGTTCTCCCCTTTCACTGTAACACAAACATTGCACCTCAATGAGCTGATCTTTCTACCCAAGTCCATCTCCAAGACATGCAGGACTCTCTAGACTTTGGAGAGACTCAACAGGCTGAAAGATAGAGAACATGGGAGCAAACAGCCTGGACTGGGAAGATAATACACACTCCATCCACCCCCACGTGGTTCTATCATGGCCCCACCCCCCTGGGCATGCTTTAATTACAGTCGGACATTTGCTCATACCAGCTGGCTCGGAAGCCAACGTGAAAGAAACAAAGCAAAAAGGGACCAGACGATACCTTCTTTGCTCCTGTCAAGGCTGCTTTCTGGAGCTTGTTGTAACAGTACTTGGCGTAAGTGCTTATTGCCACCCCTATAAGAGAAAACAGAGAGCAGAGAGTCAAGCCAGACGTTCCAGGAAATAGGAAAAGCAGGAGCCCTGTGATCCATTGTAGAGGCCCTCGGGAAAGCTCAGGGATGGGGTTTCAGAAGGGAGTGCTCAAGGCTTCGGCACCACTGAAGTTCCACGTCAGCCCTGGATGCTTTGCACCTCTCAGGCAGCGCTCAGGGCTGATACAGGACCTCAGTGATGCTTGGGCCTTCTGCTGATCTTTTTTCACAGGGGTGGTTTCATCCAAAATTGCACATAAAGCAGGTATGAATAGCACCTGCACAGTGAGGCACCCAGTGCTTGACTGGTACATGCCAGGCTTTGGAGACCAGGCCCTAAAAGCTGCTTACCTCCAGCTGTGAAATTAACCCATGCAGCGGGACTGTCCCAGGAAAGGGAGTGCATCTGATTCCAAGAGGCGTAGTGCCAGGCCAAGCTATGAATCTCATTCTGAAGGCATAAGGGCTACCTGATCACGAGTGAGGATAGAAACACCACCACCACCAGAAGGCCAAGGGCTTGGGGCCTGATTTCCCCACTGGAGGAAAGATTTGGGGTGATATTTTCAAAGTTGCCTTGGGGTTCAGAGGCCCAATTCTCACTGATTTTAATGAGGACCGTGTGTCTAAATCCCTTAGGCAGTGCTCAGAATATCATTCGTTCTCAAGGGTTATTGCTTGGAGGGAAGAGACAGGCACGATCTGTTTTAATAATAATTGTCTATTGCTTAATAGAAAACTACAAACCCAGAAGCAGAGCGCAGGTGTTGGCTACCTTTGTTTCTGGAAGCGTGGTGCTTTTGAGCATGCTCAGTAAATCCCCCTTAGACTCCCAACTACTGCTTGATGGATTGATTTTTTTTTAACATGACTCTTCCTGATTTTATAGACTACAGTTCCAAGTTATTTTTGGTCATGTGATGGATGTTGCAGCCAATCGGAACGAATCGATAGAAAAGCATGGTCACTGCACATCACCAGAGCTGCAGTGAGATAACTGGGTGTGGGGCTTCCGTTCTACTTTGCTATTAAAGTGCAGTTAGCGTCAGCAGGCGACTTTGTAAAGATGCCCTTCCATCCACAGACTTGCCCCTGGATGGATCCAGGGTCAGGGCTGTTTACGCAAGAGGCAAGAATAAGTTTTTAGGGCCTCTTGTGCCAGTGAGCCCTGCGGAGCCGGCACAAGAGAGCTGGACTCTATTCTGGCTCATCAAAACAACTGTTACCCAAGTTCAGCTACAGAGTCCGATCTCGTTCACCGTCCCACAAGCCCTCGGAGAACAATGGTGGTGTGGAGCTAGCACAGAGAGCAGCACTCGGCTCACCCAACCTGCAGTACAGGGGATGCTGCAGGAGCCAGGAGCCCAGCTTGACACTCTGACCCCAAATCGAGTTCCTCGGCTTCTCCCCCTTTCTCTGTTGCCACCAGCAGCGCCGCCCTCCTCCCTCTCACTCAGGTTGCTAAGCTGCTCAGCCCCCACAGCCAGGCCATACCCACATCTTGCCGGTTCTCCCTTCACAACATTGCCAGGATCTGACCTTTCCTCTCTACCCGCATGGTTACATCTCCCATCCCTCAGCATCTCCTGCCTCGACTCCCGCTCTGGCCTCCATGACTCCCATCTCAACCCCCACTTGGGCCCATTCAAAATGCTGCTGCTGACATCATCTTCTTGGCTCGTTCCTCTGACCATGTCACGCCCCATCTCCACCCCTCAGATCCTTCACTGGCTTCCCCACCATAACCAGGACAAGTTTCCAGTGCCCCACTCCAAGGCCCTTCGCACCTGTCTCTCCTGCCTATCCACTCCCGTATCTCACTGCGTCGCCCCAAAGCCCTGTGCTCCATTGCCCACCCGTCTGCTTAGCCTACTGGCACCAGCAAGCTTTCTTCCACACCGCCCCCGGCACGTGAAACTCTCTCCCTGAGCCAAGCCATAGGACCACTCCCCTGTTCTGTCTATCCCCGCTGCAGGGCCCACTTCTGCTGTGCCACCTTTGGGAGACTGCTAACTGAGAGCCAGGGCCGTCCCTAGCCATTTGGATGCCCTACGCGCACGCCCCGCCCAGGGTCTGGGAGGCAGGAGCTGTGGGGGGGCACTTTTGGGGGCCCCACAGGCCCAGGGTGGCCCAGGGGATTAGCAGGGGGCCAGGAGGAACCTGCTCCACTTCCCTTGCCCTGGCCCCAGCCATGGCGCTCGGGGGAGGGAAAGGTGTGTCCCCCCGCACTCACCGGCAGCGGTGGGAAGCGGAGCACCGTGGCTGGGAGCTGGCAGAGTGGAGCGGGCTGGGGTAGGGTTGCTCCACTTCCCGCTGCTGAGCGTGGGGTCCCTGGGGGAAGAGGTGGGATGGGGGCGGGCCGGGGGCAGAGCAGGGGGGAAGGGGAAGAGGTGGGGCAGAGGGAGTTGTATGGGGCCCCACACCCCCCTAGGGATGGCCCTGCCCCTTGCAGTGGGCGCAGCCCGTGGGGGGGGGCAGCTGAGGGATAGGGCTGGTCGCCAAGGCTGGTGCTGCTGCGTATGCAGCACGCAGCTGCCTAGGGCACCATGAAATTTGGGGCAATTTGGTGCCCCAAATTTCATGGTGCTCTACGCAGCTGCGTATGGTGCATATGCCTAAGGACGGCCCTGCTGAGAGCGGCCAGTCCACAGCTAGCAGGAATACGAGCTCCTTAACTTATCTTTTTTCAGAGTAGCAGCCGTGTTAGTCTGTATCCGCAAAAAGAACAGGAGGACTTGTGGCACCTTAGAGACTAACACATTTATTTGAGCATGAGCTGTCGTGAGCCACAGCTCACTTCATCGGATGCATACAGTGGAAAATACAGTGGGGAGATTTATATACACAGAGAACATGAAACAATGGGTGTTACCATACACACTGTAACCAGAGTGATCAGGTAAGGTGAGCTATTACCAGCAGGAGAGCGGGGAGGGGGGGCAGAGGGGGGTAATAGCTCACCTTACCTGATCACTCTGGTTACAGTCTGTATGGTAACACCCATTGTTTCATGTTCTCTGTGTATATAAAATCTCCCCACTGTATTTTCCACTGAATGCATCCGATGAAGTGAGCTGTGGCTCATGAAAGCTTATGCTCAAATAAATTTGTTCGTCTCTAAGGTGCCACAAGTCCTCCTGTTCTTTTAACTGATCTTTGTGTTAGATCCTGAGCAAAGATAATCTGGAGTCACCTTGTGAGAAGGACCGCCGGGGGCTGTTTTTATGGGGTCATTTTTCAGAGTTTAAGGGACTGCCACTCTATCATAGCTCACCATAGTTAGCTCCAATCTGGAAGCACCGTAAGTAGCTCCTATATATGCAGACCAACTCAGCAAGGGCTTGACCCAATGCTCACTGAAGACAATGGGCTTCAGATCAGACCCTAAGTTTCCTTAAAAGCAAAGTTTTAATGCCACAGACATTGAATGCACTGTTTTCCTGAGCATCCACTTCCAAACAGTGACTACAGGAGGCAAAGAGCACTTTCACTTTAAAACCACCCCCTCATAGAGCTGACAGGACACAGCGTGGGTCCAGCTGTGACCTGCCCATGCAACATGTGGCTGTACAGTACATTCCAGTGCCCCTTACACAGAAGCAGTACAAGGAAAGGGGAGTACAATCACTACGGGACAGAATGGCGGAGATGGGAGCTGCGATTGATGACATGTAACTGAGGGAGAAGAAACAGCGATAATGAATGCAAGTAACGTCAGCAGCAGCAGTTCAGTTCCCAGCTAACAAAAGGCGTAAGAACACTCTCCATCAGCTGAATGCTACTTCGTTCCATCCTGATCCTCCACATGGCACCTGCCCCCGATGGTGCACTCTCCCAATGGCAGATTCACACGTGTATCTATTTTTTCAGAGTCATAGATTCCAAGGCCACAAGGGACCATGGTGATCATCAAGTGAGACTGCCTCTGTAACACAGGCCAGAGACCTGCCCCCATACAACTCTTAGAGGAGATCATTTAGAAAAACATCCAATCTGGATTTACTTAGGTTCTTACCATGCCCATCACCCCAGACTCCAAGGATGGCAAAAAATCAGAAGGGAGGTCCAAGAGCAGAACCTTGCCCTGAAGTTGGATAGCACTAACTCTCATGATATTACTGGAAGTCTTGCAATTCTTGGTGTTGTTCTTAAAGCCCCAGCACCTGGAGTCAGGTTATTAAACAAGACTCCCAGCTTTCATTAAAGGAAAAAAGTAAATTTCTAGTCCTCGTGATTGCACAGAAAATCCTGAAAACATAGAATCATAGAATATCAGGGTTGGAAGGGACCCCAGAAGGTCATCTAGTCCAACCCCTGCTCAAAGCAGGACCAATTCCCAGTTAAATCATCCCAGCCAGAGCTTTGTCAAGCCTGACCTTAAAACCTCTAAGGAAGGAGATTCTACCACCTCCCTAGGTAACGCATTCCAGTGTTTCACCACCCTCTTAGTGAAAAAGTTTTTCCTAATATCCAATCTAAACCTCCCCCACTGCAACTTGAGACCATTACTCCTCGTTCTGTCATCTGCTACCATTGAGAACAGTCTAGAGCCATCCTCTTTGGAACCCCCTTTCAGGTAGTTGAAAGCAGCTATCAAATCCCCCCTCATTCTTCTCTTCTGCAGGCTAAACAATCCCAGCTCCCTCAGCCTCTCCTCATAAGTCATGTGTTCTAGACCCCTAATCATTTTTGTTGCCCTTCGCTGGACTCTCTCCAATTTATCCACATCCTTCTTGTAGTGTGGGGCCCAAAACTGGACACAGTACTCCAGATGAGGCCTCACCAATGTCGAATAGAGGGGAACGATCACGTCCCTCGATCTGCTCGCTATGCCCCTACTTATACATCCCAAAATGCCATTGGCCTTCTTGGCAACAAGGGCACACTGCTGACTCATATCCAGCTTCTCGTCCACTGTCACCCCTAGGTCCTTTTCCGCAGAACTGCTGCCTAGCCATTCGGTCCCTAGTCTGTAGTGGTGCA